CATAAGTTTATGAGGACAACAGCCAAAGAGAAACAAACCCAGAAACCGAAATGGAATCAGCAAAAAAAAAAAAACACAACCGTGGCAAACAAATATACCAAAACAGTAACAACCACACGGCCAGCCACAATACCCGACGAATGAACGAACGACACCGGCCCAAGAAATATGACCAATTTTTGTGAAATTGATGTCAGAGTGTGCGGTTTGTTTTTAATAACTTTAATATTGTCGTATTTATTATTAAGTTATGAAAGTTATAATTATCTGATAATGGTATGCCACAGAAAAGTGGCAGTAGACAGCAGACCAACAGATATGCAGACCGACAAGGGGGAATAAAACATTGTCACTTCACAGCAGGACATATAGACTTGAATGGAGTTCATAATGTGTGTTTGTTTGTCTGTTTTGTTGGGTCCTAAAACATCTTGTAATAGACTCATACAACATGTTTGAGGACAGTGCTGCTTTTTTTATCCGAAGATAAGAAATAGCAGCGGGTTGGAGCAACATTGTTTGCATGTTGTGGTTTTACAATAGCAAAAAAAGCCAACAGATAAGCCAAAGAGTCCTACATTGATGCGTAGATAGGTACCACCACGTGTAATGTTCTCACGCATGAAGAGATTTTTGCGGGTCCTTCGCCCATTTCCATCTCCCATTAGACTAATAAGATAAAAGACAAGTACTATATGTTCAATGCAATTGAAATTTGGGATAAGGCAAAACGTTTATTTGGTTTTAAATATTTGAATTTTCAAAACAAGAACACAACTGCAGATGTTTTTACCAAAAATGTTAAAGTTAATATTATCAAATTTTTTGAAAAATCCTAGCTTCTTTTATAATGTCTATATCCAAAGCTACGGGTTTCATCCAGCAAATAAAATATAAAATCAGCAATATAAGGTTTTTTTCAACTCCAGTTTGGCAATACAGGGTGAGATGAAAACTCCGACCAATTTCAGACTGCTGTCATTTCTAAGCCATTCGTCCGACAGCTGTTAAAATTATTCCAGTGACAACTCATTATACTGTTTACAAGCGTACAAAAGCCTTTTGGTAAGAATTTTCCAGAAAAAAAGGTATTCATGATGGAATTCAAGCGTAATAGTGGGATTTCTTTATATTTGGCTGGAAAACCACAAGTGGGTATCGTTAGAGCACTCCAGCATTTAAATGGAAATTAATCTTTTGTGTCTCCCTAGTTACCATGATACTGGTAGCGTAGCCCGACGTCAAGGAAGTGGACGGAAGAAAACAGCAACATCGGCAGAAATGGTTCGCAAAAGTAATGAAGCGACTTGATCGAAACCGCAGTCGCGTCGCAGTGGCCGAAAAATGGCTCGTGAGCTGAACATATCCCAATATTCCATTTGGCAAATATTGAAAAATGAGTTCGGAGTAAAGCCATTGAAATTTCAGAGTGCAGGATTTACCCCGCAACAGAAAAAAACAGACTCAAAAGAGCTAAAGAGTTGCTTCGCTTGGCCGAAAGTGGTGAACTGCCGAATTTGGTTTTCTCCTCACCAAAGAGGTCAGATCGGAACACAAGCGCTGGCCATGGTGATGGTGTGGGCCGCCATAACAGCCGATGGTCGCTCTCGACATTTTCACCAATTTCTGTAAAAATGTTCAGAAGTATGCAATTAGCCAATAAATTCATTAAATGTCGTTCTGGTAATGGCGTATGCGACTCTGCATCATTCATTCTGCTATAAACTCATTGCTTCTATTTTTTTATGGACAGTCAAAATTTTGGGATATCGACAGTTTCGCGAATTTCTGTAAAAATGTTCAGAAGTACTCATAAATTCATTGGTTCTATTTTTTCTATGGACAGTCAAAATATTAATCGACCGTAGTATCAGAATAAATGCCGAATATTATCGCGAAAATATTTTGGAGGGTGTATTAAAGCCTTGGGCAGGCAAACAATTTGGCCGCAGACCTTGGACATTCCAACAGGACTCAGCACCATCGCACTCAGTGCGCCGCACTCAGCGTCATTCAAGAATGATTACAAAACGAGGTTACTCGCTTCATTTCCAGCGCACAATGACCACCAAAATCCCCGGATACTAATCCGTTGGACTATTGTATCTAGATTATTTTGGAAAGCAAGGTTAGCACTAAAAAATACCAAAGTGTCGATCACCTCAAGCAAGCGCTTCGCCGGGAATGGGCAAAAATATCGCAAAGCAACATTCGGGCAGCGTGTGACGGTTTCATTGGCGGTTCGAAGGCCTCAATTCGTGCCAAAGGTGATCAATTCGAACAAATCTAAATTTATTCTAAAATTTGTTGTTATTTCCGACATATTTTGCTTAAATTCAATAAAATTAAAAAAAAATAAAATTTATGGCGTTTGACATTGTTTGCAGTTTTTTTAATCCACCCTGTATGGTCACTCGATATTCGGTATTTTAATGTTTTTTTTTTTTTTAATTTTTGTGTTTCAAGTTATAACTTTCAGAAATAACTTTTTATATTGACATATTTAAAAAAATACTTCCTTAACTGACTCTTTACTTTTTACACCCTACAACACTGTGTTGGGGTGTAATAAATTTGATTGGGCCAAAAATTATATAATATGGCCCGATTCGCCCGAAATTTTACATGGAGGTGAGGTTAAGATTAGAATAGAAGCCAATTGTTTGGGGAAGACGAACGCAAAATATTGAGGGGACCAAAAACAGAACAAGTTCCTGATTTCGCAGTTGCTCCACATGTCGCAATTATAGACCAATTGACGTAATTTAGTATGTCGCTAGAGTTTAGAGTTTCAAACTCGAACTATGATTTTTAAAAATCGTACCAATTTGGAATAAATTTTCAAGAGATATCGTACTTAGTATCCTGACAGATAGGCAAGCGATTTCTATCAAAAAGACATGATGAGACCTCTTTTTTTCCCAAGACGCACATTTTGGCGGACTAAAATCATGTATTCCCTTAATTCTGAGGATATAAAATATGTTTCCCATTGTTTGAATTGGATTTAAATATTACTATGGGCTATGTTTTTACAATTTTGCTATTTTGTGTGAGGAAGATACCCAAAATATATATGGAAAAATCTAATATGACATTTTAAGCTTTATTTTTTAAAAGAAAAATGGGAAAAGGTTTGGGCAAATATATCCCACACACCATAACTTAAATTAAAATTAATATTTTTATATATGAACTTTGAAGAATAGCAGATATTAAGTCATAATTTTTATACCCTACACCACATAGTGGTAAGGGTATTATGTCTTTGTGCATTTGTTTGTAACAGGCAAAAGGAAACGAGATAGACCCATAGTTCCTTTTGATGATCTGCATAGAATCACATTCTGAGTTGATTTATGCATGTCAGTCCGTCTGTCCGTCCGTCTGTCCATGTATTCTTGTGAACAAAATGCAGGTCGCATTTATTATCCGATTGAGATGAAATTTTGCAAACAACATTTTTTTGGCCCAAGGACGAACCCTTTTGAAATTGGAGATAATCGGTAAAAATTTAGATATAGCTCCCATATATATCTTCGTCCGATTTGCCTTTTATTGTGCACCAAACGTGTAATATCAGTCCGAATGGTATGGAATTTTGCACATACAACCAAATTAGGCCTGAAAATAAGTATGCCAAATTTTATCGAAATCGGTTCAGATATAGCTATAGCTACCATATATATTGTTAATCCGATTTGTTATTTCTGTCCTCCGCAGCCGTAATATGCACTCTGTAACAACAATATTTGGGGAAATATATCAAATGCAGCTCAGAAATACCTTTGCTAAATTTTATCGAGATCGGTTCAGATTTGGATATAGCTCCCATATATAACTTCGTCCGATTTACCATTTATTGTGCACCAAACGTGTAATATTTGTCAAAATGGGATGGAATTTGGCACATACGACCGAATTTAGTCTAGAAGGTAGTATGCCAAATTTGGTGAAAATCGGTTCAGATATAGTTATAGCTCCCATATATATTGTTCATCCGATTATTTGTATTTGTTACCCACAGCCGTAATATGCACTCTGTAACAACAATATTTGGGGAAATATATCAAATGCAGCTCAGAAATACCTTTGCTAAATTTTATCGAGATCGGTTCAGATTTGGATATAGCTCCCATATATAACTTCGTCCGATTTACCATTTATTGTGCACCAAACGTCTAATATTTGCCCAAATGGGATGGCATTTGGCACATACGACCGAATTGAGTGTAGAAGGTAGTATACCAAATTTGGTGAAGATCGGTTCAGATATAGCTATAGCTTCCATATATATTGTTCATCCGATTTGTTGTATTTGTTACCCACAGCCGTAATATGCACTCCGTAACAACGATATTCAGGGAAATAAATACAGATCAGAAATATCTTTGCCAAATTTTATCGAGATCGGTTCAGATTTGGATATAGCTCACATATATATTTGTATCCTATTTCAAAGTAATTGTGCGCCAAATGGGCAATACAAGTCCGAATTTAAAAGATACAAATGCTTCGGCATATTTAGTCCTTTGAACTTTAAATTATAATTATAATCATAGCGTGTATGATTGAATTCTTCCATAAAAACTTTTAATTGTTATGTGGAGCTCTACTTAATTAGCAAAGTGGTGTAGGGTATCAAAAAGTCGGCCCCGCCCGACTTTAAGACTTTCTTTACTGGTTTTAACTTGTTTTACGCCTAAAATTGTAAAATTCCACCGCCATTTAGCACCTTACTTTTGTGTTAAATGTCTTGCTTACCGTATTGTTAGTGCATATCAACTCGAATATAAATAAAAAACATGCTTCAATATTTTGTTTCTTATTTTGTTTCTTTATTGTTTATATTTCATTTGAAAACTGCCATCTATAAACGACATTCTGTTGTTTCGCCGAATACAAAGGACTAATGGGCGGTGACTTGTGGCGACCTGAAAGAGATGGTGAGAATTGTCTACAAATGTCTGTAAAAGAAACAATGTTAGAGAAAAAGAAGAAAAAAATACAACAGGCTAATAGGCAATCATTAAATGGGTTTTAACAGTTATTCAAAGTGTTTTATTACGATTATATTATTAAAACTAACTATTTTGTTTCGAATTTATTATTTGTTTTGTTTTTTTTTTTTATGATTTATTTCTACGCAGCAAGACAAGCACAACAATACCAAATAACAATACAATACAACAAATACAATACATTACAATAATTTAACGTTTAACTAAAATAATATGGTTTTAACATTAGTACCGTCATAAAAAAAGAAACACAAATGATCGGATTGGTTACAAATAAACATATTTTTTATGGTTCTGAAACACAAATAGAGCTGTTTGTTTTTCACTCGATTAAAATGACGAAAAAGACAATTCGGCAGCGAATTTGATCTTATGGTGTTTGGGAGTTTGACATTATTATCTAAATTTATTTATGCTTTTTTCTAAGCGTGTAAACTAAGTAGGGGTTTCCTACTGCAGTGAGTTACCGATCAATTTGCTTGGCTTTCTATTCAAAATATGGCTGGAATGGGTCTACTTTTTTTAGGGGTTGGGGTTTCTGTCATAAATCATTTATGATGCCTGTTCGGATGGATTGAGGGACAATTGACGCATGGTAAATGTGGTTTCTGTTCAAAAAACAAAACAAAAAAAGAGAGAGAAATAATAAAAACAAAACATTTGGACAACAAATGACATAAACAACACTTATTAACAAATAAATAACACAAACATAAAAAGAATGAACAGTGCTTTTGTGCATTGTTTTGAGAGTTTTGTTATTAACAATAATCGTGCTTTGAATGTTATGCCAAGAAAGTGATATAAGCAAGGAGGTGAGAAAGGCTAAGTGCCTCTCCATAAAATAATAAAGTTTTCCCTAAGAAAAAGAAAATCTTATATGAATATTGGAAATATAGACTGATATTTTGTACCAGTTTTAGATGCTATTATGTGTAGTATGATTATTGCAAAAATGGACTAAGTCGGCCAGGATTTAATCATAGCCACAAATATATCGGCATCTATTGATGTTCAGTATTTTTAATATGACATTTTTGCCATAAAATATTTATTATTATTATCTTAAATTTTTAATTATTTGAATATTCAAATGAATTTTGCAATTTAGGCTTTTTACTATATAGGAGCTCATAAATGTAACTAGGCAATTAAAATACCCCAAAATCTGCATTTATATTGAACAATATATCCGAGGATCTACTTATTATTATTTAAAAATTTTGAAATTGCGGTCACTTCCTTCGGAAGACGTTGCCAGGACCCCAGAGTCATATTCGTCTACTCACCACAATACATATTACCTAATACCTTTATCCCTTTATACATTAAACCAGCGGTGCTCAAGAAAAAATGCCTCTTTTCAGTCAAATTTCTCTTTGCTCATTTAAATCAAGAACAAAACAGTGTTAAGTCATTATTTATACAAATACTATTTATCCATTTGCTTTATAAATTAATTTGGCAAACATTCATGTTTAAAAACAATTTAATAGAACCGTAAAATATAAAGAAAAACAGAATTTTAATTTTCTCTTAAATTATCTCTTTTTTCGGTTCATGTTCTAGAACACGGTTTTGAGCACCGCTGATTAAACATAAACTATCTTATTTATTTCATTAATCTTTCTATCTTATTTTAATATATCGCATTACATTAAACTCTCCCTTTTTCTCTTATCTCTCTCAACTATCACTGAATCTGGTGCTCTTTAATATTCTCCCACTTACTCCCACTTTAGTAGTTAAAATATTAATTAATGGAATAAGTAAAAAAGTAGTAAGTTCGGCCGGGCCGAACTTTCAACAACATCCACCATTTGGAAGGGATTTGGAAATTGAAAAATATACATCGAAAAATACTGTTAAAATCATAAAAATACTGAATAATGGGAGTTACCGTTATATTGAGGTCTATACGAAGACATGGACCTGCATAGTCAAAATTCTGTTAAAGCATGCAGTACCCATTGGGAACTGCAAATACGAAATTCGAAATAATTCCCACAAATAATGTCCCTAAAATCAAACAAGGAGTAAAAAACCAGTAAGTTCGACCGGGCCGAACTTTGAATACCATCCACCATTTGGAAGAAATTTGGAAGTTGAAAAATATACGTCGAAAAATACCGTAAAAAAATTATAAAAACACTAAATAATAGGATTTACGAAGACGCGGACCAGCTTATTAAAAAATCTTTTATAGCATGCAGAACCCATTGGCAACTTCAAATATAAAATTTGAAATACTTCTGACAAATTACGTCCTTAAAATCATCTAAATACCGAATATGGAGAGGTACCGTTATTTGGGGCCTATACCAACACCTAGACCTGCATATGCCTTTTTCCAACACAGGCTGTAGTACCCATTACGAAATTTAAAACAATTCAGGGGAATAATGACGCTAAAAATAAAATACCGAATATAGGAATGTACCGTAATATCGGAGGTATACGAAGACGTGGACCTCCATACGCTGTTTTCTATCACTGGCTGTAGTTCCCATTAGGAACTTCAAATACGAAATGTGAAAAAAAAATCTGGTTAATAATGACACAAAATCAAAAAAATACCGAATATAGGGAGGTACTGCTATATGGGGGCTACACCATTTTCAATACCTAAAGTCCTACAGAACAAACACACATCTGAGTAAAATGTTATAAACCGACTTCAATTCGTTCGGAAGCTAAAGTGATTTCCACAGACGAATTTTATGCTGATCAAGAATATGTATACTTTGTGGGGTCTAAAATGTATATATCGAGGTGTTACAAACGGAATGAAAAACTTAATAGACCCTCCATACTAGATATGTTATATGTTTTATTAATATAAAATACAACTCAAGCCTATTCTAAATAATGGACCTACACTGAAAATTATCCGTCAACATGGTTTGCATCGACTCATTATATTTAAGAAATCGAGAACTCTAAATGACAAATTTTTCGGTTTTAAATAGTGACTGAAATGTAGGGTCTATTACTAAACGTAGAAAATATACCAACTTCAACTTCTTTTTTACCCTTTGTAATAAGATGGATGGTATATTGACTCGGTCATTCAATATATACCGGTCCAGGTAAATCCCGCATATAACAGTAAATTCTGAGTTATAGGTTTCGGTTCCAATTTCCAAATCATATATATCAAAAAATTATCAAAGGAGGTCCCCTTTTTCGTATACCCTACATTTAACCTCTTGATTTTGAGTATTTAAAGAATTCGGACCAACTTCCAACTAAATCAATTTTAATTTGAAATTTCGATACATCGACGAAAAGTTTATATTCAATATGGGTAGGAGTTATAAAGATGGTCAATTTGGTCACAAACCGATCTAATATTTCGTATGGTTTTTAAGAATAACCCATTTTTTTTCAATCTACTATTGATGTAGAAGCTAAATTGTTTATATTCTCCTTTAATAAGTTATTCCGCTCATACAGCTCCCAAATTTTTGCTGAAATGTATCGATATTCATTTCTCTATATCAATATCGATTGATTGTGCTTCCAATTGAATAATGTTGTAGTTTTCGGCAAAACGCCATAGGACGACGATTTTGATTTTGAGTTATTGGTAATTTGTAGCGGTATCTGTCCCTCGAGAACTTTCTACAGCAACAAATCCAACTTTGAAAAAGATAATGCTAAAATTTTGGTAAAAACTACTTAGCTCCGCAATATGAATAACTTCAAAGTATTTAAGACAAATATACTCTACACCCCCCGCCCCCTCCAAAAAGTAGCCAAAATACAAAATTTTAGCCCAATCGATTAATAAATACGGTCTAGGAAATAAATTGGGAGGTACCTCGAAATAAAAATAAGGGCACTAACTCGAAATATTGACCCACACTGAAAAGTTTCTGCTAAGAGATTTACTATCTCCTAGGAAACCAACATTCCAAAAAAGGGTCAAATCAGTTGAAAAATATCGTCAAGACCCCAGAAATAACTGAAGGGTTATACAAAAGCGTGGACTTATATTGATTTTTGCAAGGATAATTTCTTTTTACTTGTTTCTCAAATTACCAAAATTTACCTAAATTATTACCTAAAATATGACTGAACTAAAAAGACCAACGACATCACCCATTTTTTGTATTAATGATTCTACATGTAAGCCATATGCCTGTATCAAATTTAAAACTTCCATCTTTTGGGAATTGTAGAGAATAATATGTAAGACCATTTGTTTTTATTTAAATCTATAAATAATGGGACTTAATTCCTCCCCAATTGTCTTATATTCTGACACTAACCTTAAAAAAGCGCCAAATTTCGTGGGGGTCGGGAAATGATTGATGAAATGATTACAATTTAACATAGACGGACGGATACACGTAGCTCGATGGACTTAGATCGGCAAGATAGGAAGATCGTATATACCGATCGGGGTTGTAGAACAAATATTTCAATATATTGCAAACTTCTGAGCCTGTCAAACTTTCAATACCTCCAACACATAGTGTTGTAGAGTCTAAAAAAGGCGACATATTGTGTGTATTACCATGTATGACTATATCCGGCACTAAGCTCGGTTTATATGTATAACATTTGTTTATGAATTTGAACTCGTACGAAAAAGTGTAGAACATTATATTCCATTTTCGCAAATAATATTGGAATATGCTAATTCGGACACTGGTTTCAGGTTTTGACCTTTTTTCTTGGGAGTGGGGGGCTAAGAGGGGCAGTTGTAAATATTTTCCGTTTTCGCTCTGACCCAAGTCTGATAAAAGTATTACCACGGACCAAATTTGGATTTTACGGTGCCTTATGTTTATGTTGTCCCAGGTTCTTTCTAACATTGTTGAACTTTTGTGGTGAGGGACTCAAATATTCCATTTTCACACTTTCTCTATATAACTGGTTCTATTCTCTACCATCAAAGAATATGTATATGGTTGCTTTAGATGTACACAAAATAAACCTATCTCGTACATTATTCTGATTCTGTTGTTTTTCTTTTCTTGGCTTTTGTGAACGGTATCCCAGACCACAGCAACATCAAAACAATTTCCTACACGAGTACACATATCAGCAAAATACTTTTCTACACGATTTCACTCCTAGAGAAACTTCTAACCTATTTTGAACAATTTGACTCCGACCTATATTTTTCCAACAGGAGTAATTCACAAGCGGAAAAGAGTGAAGAGTAAATGTCGTGTAAAACTCGTACTGTTTGAAAACTCCCGCTCGCGATTCAAAACGAGCAAACTTAAGCTCTGTTTATTTCACATTTTTGTGGGGAAGTACGAAAAGGAGGGCATTGACATATGGTCTGGAAAAATATTAAAAATATAAAATATTTAATCCGGGTACTTTTATTTTTAAAAGTTTTCTTTGCTTATATTGGAGGGTATTTAAAAATATTACTTATTTTTAGTTTTTTTTACATTCAATTTTTAAAATATGGAAAAAAATATTTTTGGAAGATCAGCGTATTCCCCTTTTTTTCTAATTATTATCAAAATTTTACATGGTTGAAATACGTCTTTAATTTCCTAATTATATAATATAATTGTCCTTATTATCTCTTTTAACATTTTATTGTCTTCTAAAAAGGATAATTAATATTCATCTTAAAAAATTGTGATAGAGTTATTAATGTGTTTGCATCTACATAAAAAGGCATAGTACATTTTGACATAAACATATCACGTGTGACCACACCCATAACTAGCTTTATACAAATAATATTGATTTCCTCTTACCGCTAAGAATTTTTCACACTTTCATAAAACCCCCACATGAAGCACTCAATGATGGCGATGGAGATGAGGTATGACTTGAACTTAGATAATCCAATAATTTTAAAACATGACCAACTAAAATGGAATTTAACATCAATTCAGACAAAATTCAAATTTACGATGAATCATTCCAATAAAAGCCAAAAACATGGATGCATGTCAAATTACACATAAAAACACACACACACAAACATACCCCTTAGTACACGTTCACATACCTGGTGTTGTGAAACCTTCCTGGATTTTGTAAATTTCATTTAAATCCCGAGCACTGCACAGGGGTGTATCCACTTGGGTTGTCTCATTGAAGCGGGCATAATCAATCTCGTATGCCTGACGATCTTTGTTGTAGACCACAACAGGGTCAAAGCGATGACCCCATAGAATTTCTGTATTAATATAACTGGAACGGGCCTGCGTCGATTGGCCAGTAGATTCCACAGTACCCTCGAGAATAACCACAATTTCAAATTTGTCATTCAGAATATCCGTAGCAGACATATTATAGAGTGGTGAGTTTTCATCGATTTTGTGTTCAATAACCATGGGCCAAATAAAGAAGATATCCGATCCACAGTCATCAGCTCCAATTTCAAGATCGGTGAAATGTTGAGTCATAACTTCGCCTTCCTTGGTCGTCTTGGTGCGAATCAACTGGGCCCTTACACCGGCACCAATAATGTGCGATTTACGCATATCACCAACACGGAACATGAGGCTAAGGCTACCATCCCTCTGGCAAATGACAGCATTTTTCGAGAACAGTAGGGTTTGGGCTCTCTGTTTGGCACGAGTCATTTTGGCAAATACAATGCCAGCCATGAAGGCCGATGACATTACACCGTAAATGGATTGGAAACACATCATGAATATGGCCTCGGGACATTCTTCCGATGTTGTGCGTACACCATAACCAATGGTATGTTGAGTTTCAATGGAGAACAGGAAACACGATGTAAAACCATTAATTGCCGAGACACAAGGTTGCCAACCACTTTCCTCTGCAAAGAAAGAAATGATAATAAGCTTTGTTGAACTATCCCGCCCCTCCCTTAGCTACTCACCCTGATTGTGTGGCAAATGCAACTCCTCCAAATCACCATGGGTGTACATGATCAGCCACCACAGCACCGCAAATATCAACCAAGACAATATGAATGACAATGCAAAGGCCAGCAGGGTCCAGCGCCATTGTGTGTCCACCAGGGTGGTGTACATATCTTGCAGAAACCGCAAACGTCTTCGTGTCAAATTCTTTTGCAGAACATTGCAATCACCATTTTTGAAGACAGCTCGTCGTCTCACTTTACGCATGCTGCCGGGTCGGAAATTACGGGATCTAAAAATGAGAAAGTTTAAAAAATGTAATTCAATTTATGTATACGCCTTAAAGTAGGCAACAGTTTTTAGTTAATGCAAGAACAACTTCCATTGTTGGATTGTAAATTAGAGCAATAAACGGGTGACTCATGAATATTTATTAAGCCATTGTGGACAATAATTTAATCAGAACAAGACAGACACACAGCCAGATGACAGATATAGTTTTACTTAAAAGACACAGTTTTACTTAAAATTTTATCCTGATCGAAAATATATACTTTGTTGAGTCTACGTGATTATTTCGAGGTATTGCAAACGGAATGTTAAAATTAAAATTTCCTCCATATTGTAATGGACACTTTCGATGAAGAAGATGCTATTACATTTTAGAGCTTAAATCCTAAAAAGATAATTTTCACCAGCTCTGTCTTCTCTGTCAAGTAATTACAAAATCGTTCTTAATACACATAGCATAACTATTAATCAGTTCCAAAATTTTAAAAATGTTACTACGACAAACGGTTACCCAATTTGGTCCAAACTTGCTGCGTGGTAATATTTTTGCCAAACTTAAATTAATTTCTGAGATAAATAATAACTAGAGGAGAGATTGGTTCATTTTTAACTAGGAGTGAAATTTGCTCATAAGCCGGAGTCCACGAGGAGTGCGAATTTTATACTTAATTTACTCTCCACGCATTTCTTTTGTATGAGAGCGCTCTCCAGTTACCTGATGACGTACAAAAGTCAAGAAGAGGAAAACGAAAAATAGGCGGCGGGTGGTTTTCTTTTACAAAACCATATTACGGCTGTCCCAAAGTCGGGCGGGGCCGATTTTATGATACTCTACACCACTTTGCTAATTCAGTTCAGCTCCACATAACAATTAAAAGTTTTTATGGGAGAATTCAATCATACACCCTATGATTATAATTATAATTTAAAATTCAAAGGACTAAATATGCCGAAGCATTTGTATCTTTTAAATTCGGAATTGTATTGCCCATTTGGTGCACAATTTATTTGAAATCGGATAAAGATATATATGGGAGCTATATCCAAATCTGAACCGATCTCGATAAAATTTGGCAAAGATATTTCTGAGCTGTATTTGATATATTTCCCTGAATATCGTTGTAACGGAGTGCATATTACGGTTGTGGGTAACAAATATAACAAATCAAATGAATAATATATATGGAAGCTATAGCTATACCTGAACCGATCTTCACCAAATTTGACATACTAGCTTCTAGACTCAATTCGGTCGTAAGTGCCAAATTCCATCCCATTTGGACAAATATTAGACGTTTGGTGCACAATAAAAGGTAAATCGGACGAAGTTATATATGGGAGCTATATCCAAATCTGAACCGATCTCGATAAAATTTAGCAAATGTATTTCTGAGCCGCATTTGATATATTTCTCCAAATATTGTTGTTACGGAGTGCATATTACGGCTGCGGAGGACAAAAATAACAAATCGGATGAACAATATATATAGCTATAGCTATATCTGAACCGATTTCGATCAAATTTGGCATACTTATTTTCAGGCCTAATTTGGTTGTATGTGCAAAATTCCATACTATTTGGGCTGATATTACACGTTTAGTTCACAATAAAAGACAAATCGGACGAAGATATATATCGGAGCTATATCTAAATTTTTACCGATTATATCCAATTTCAATAGGGTTCGCCTTTTTTCACAAGAATACATGGACAGACGGACGGACGGACTGACATGCATAAATCAACTCAGAAAGTGATTCTATGGAGATCCTCAAAAGTAACTATGGGTCTATCTCGCTTCCTTCTCCATGTTACAAACAAATGCACAAAGACATAATACCCTTACCACTATGTGGTGTGGGGTATAAAAATACATTTAAATTGAAATGAGGTTGGGGATCCAAAATTATGTTTTTTTTTAGAGAGAAAACCATGACATTTTAGACGATTGGTACTAAACATCAGATAAGGTGAGGTTTTTGGAAAAGAAATCTTCAATTCCTTGATTTGGGATGTAGTTTTGTCTAATGATGTTAACAGGTTTTGCAAAATATGATCCAAAAAGTCTTGATTTTTAAGACCTCCGCCATACTATGGTGGGCTTATTAACTTTGTCACTCTCTTTGTAACTCTGCGAAATACTCATGTCAGACAGGATATATTTTATTGATCAGCATAAAATTCTAAGTCGATTTAGCGATGTCAGTCCGTTTGTCTGTTATAATAACGCTATATTTCGAAATAATTAAGATAGAAGTCTTAAATTTTACGCACTTTTGTATTTTACCAGCAAATTTTTAATAATTTTTTGAATTAATTTTCACTCATTTTCTCTCATTCTTTTTATAAACACAAGCGCTTCATTATAAGTGTTGCTTTTTATGACTACAAGATATCAGCTTGACACTAGACTGGAAATAATGATAAATTGCCTCTGCGAATGACATTCATAAATTGAGTGCAATGTTAATTAGCGATGATTGTGGACAAATATTGTCTGTAAGTTTCATTGCTGCAGCTTTTGCAGTTTTAAATTTTCCAAGGCACTCATAAATAATAATAATTTTCTTTGGATCAAAAGTCAAATAGGCTGTAGGAGTGATTTTATGATCTACTTAAAATGAAATAATTTTGCTGGTCACATGAGGGAACAATTGAAATTGTAAATCTATGAATTTTATAATTTGAAATATCGGGACTTGATAAAAACAAGTAAAAAACATTAAGTTCGGCCGGGCCGAACTTTTAATGCCCTTCACCTTAGGGTAATGGAAACATTAGAACCAATTATGACCCACAAATACCAATTTTTAGACATATTGTGGAAAAATGTGGCAAAAATCAACAAAATACTGAATATCGGGAGGTACCGCTATATAGGGCTATACAAAAACGTGGACCTATACACACAATGTTTCGCCACCGGAGCTAGAACCCACTATGACTAACCAACCAATACAAACCACCCTAGACACAATACAAATTATTCTGCTAAATTTTGATGCTCTACGTCAAATAATGTGGGCTGTATCGTGATTTCAACAGATAGACGAACAGACAGACAGGCGGACATCGTTAAATCGACTTAGAATTTTATGCTGATTATATATATATACATTATGGGGTCTACGACGAATATTTAGACATGTTACAAACGGAATGACAAAGTTAATATACCCTCCATTCCAAGGTGGAGGGTATAAAAATAATTTGGCTTGACAACACTAAATGTAGAAGATCCGTTATATGCGTGCTATACCCTCATTGAATATTTTTTTTCAAAGCATTAAACTGCCCACTAAAAATCCATAATATAAAATAAGTTGGAAATTAAGGATATTACACTTTTGGTGACCATAAGAATAACATCGGCTGAGCGTTTGTTACTGAACCCTATCTATACCCTTACATCAGAATCAAATTTGTAAAATTTATTCATTGGTTATATTTCCTGAACTTCGTTTATTTCAGCTATTAAGTTCTCTTAGGATCTGTTAATAATCGAAAATTTTCCCGTTTACCACCATATCACCATCGTAAGCCCTCTTCTCTCATAAATTCAAAGAATTCCTCCGCAGCGACAGCATACATATATCTGATGCATACATTTTAATAGACAGTTTAGACATTAATGAAATTAATTTGATATTAATTAGAAACGTTTAGCATCAAAGTTCAAGTCGTGTCAACAAAGCGCTCCCATTCACACACACACAAACAAAGAGTGTGGCTACAAAACGCCAAAGACACAAGTCGATGAGGAATGACAGAATGGCAAACAGACAAACACACAGGCTATGAATGGCTGGGTGGATGACATCGATTGGAGCAAACCTTATATGCCGATCGAACATCAGATCTGATCTGGTCGTGAATAATTGAATGTAATGAATAAACAAACTACCGCTGAATGCTGTCAATTAATTAAGAAATTAACATTTGTTTGCTGCCACGCTGAAAAATGAAAAGCCCCCACAGCGTAAGTGAGATGTGGTGCATTGGGATGGAAATAAGCACAAACAAAATAGACAACTATAACAAGGAACACTTGCTTTGAACTGGGTGACAAAAACCGTGTTAAGTATTTTTGGAAATATATTTAAAAATATAATAATAATTATTATTCAACGATTGTCACGTAATGAATCATTAGTGACAAAAATCAGTTTAAGAAAGAGGATTGTTTGACATCAAATTTCTCATATTACACGTAAAATGTAAAGCATTTTTTGGCTAAACAAGTTAGAAAATTTCAGTCGGTTTTGCCGACAGATGTATACCCTCAGCCAATGTTAGATTATTAAAATATATTTTCACTTCTGTAATAATTAATCAAATTGTTGACCCTCTATGGAGTAGGTTCCGAAGGTATGGGCCAATATTGTCCATTTCGTATCGGACCTAAATAAATATGATATAAATATTGTGACGTGCCGCGTTTGAACTATATCGACTGTTTCATTCACTTTAAATGAGATATGTGCTTATTTTTAGAAAATCTTAAAAGAAATCATAAATTCCATATTCTTCTCAGGTTTCTGGCTGAGAAATATGTTAAGATGTAGTTGTAAAAAATAGCTAACTTGTTTCGCAAGTTATGATAGATAAAAGTATTGAAGGGTTCGCAGATATATATCATCTTCACAGCAGATCTTGTGTTACCAAAAATGTTTGTATATGTGAAATTGGTTTTTCAAAATCTTGAACCCTACGTGCGGTAGGCACCAGAAGGCATGATTCGATTTTTACCATCTTTATAACAGATCCCGTGTTGATAGAAATATTCATATGTACCAAGTCTAAATGGAATCGGATGTTAATTTCGCGTTTTATGAGCATAATGAATATTCAAAATTTCGACCTTTTGTTGGGGAGGTGCCAGAAAAAGTCGATCGATATATTCCGCCTTACCACCAGATCTTGAGTTTATAAAAATATTGGGATGTGTAAAATTTGAAGACAATCCGACTCTTACATCATATTTTATAAGAGTTATAATT